AAGAAAATTGAACAATTTATTTCCATTGTTTATAATGACCAAAACTTGATTCAAAAACTTCAATTGTTTTTTTATATGACGACACGGATACAACTTCTTTCTACAAAGACAGTATTTCCTTTTGTAATATAGGCCGGTTTTAAATATATAAGCCGATTCGTCCAACCATTTGACTCATTTTTTGAATTTGTTAAAAAACAACATATTACTGGGTTCTCTGACAATTGAAAATAAAGTGACGCTAATTCTGTAGTAACTAAAGATGGAGAAGTTCAAAGTGGATTGAATTGTTGAATGAGAGAACACAGTAATAGTGATAGCGTATTACTACTAGTTCAAAGAAGGGGAGAAATAGAACAGAGAAAGTATATAATTGTTTCCATTGTTTTTCATACCAAAATAGTGATGGGAGTATTGGATAGTAAAGCAACAAAAACATCATTTTGTATAATTTAAGCGTTCTGGTGTTGGTAAAGTCAATATTTGTAAGATCAAGAGGATGTTCATTTCTATAAAATAAGATTTAAGTTGTTTTAAGAAGCTAAATATGTTTATAACAGAAAACAATTGGAATTGTTTATTTTTCCTTTAATATCAATTAATTTGGTCAAAACTGATGAAGAAAGTTTGCCTTGGATTATTGTAAAGCTGAACCAACAACAAGAGCCATATCAAACAACAAGACTAACGCCTATGGATGAGTTAATTGAGAGAAAACTAACAAATACCTGAGTCAATTAGAATATTATTTTAAGTTCTGACTTTATGCTAAAAATGAACCAATAATTGTATGTTTTATAAACTATAATTTATAAGTCAAAGTTTTGTTTTTTAAATAGTTTTCATATAAATATAGTAAAAAATAATACAAATTTACATAAAAAAACAAAGAACATATTATTATTTTCTATCAAGTAAAAAGATAATCAAACTGAAAAGACAAAAAATGGTTTGGCTTGATCTTCTTCAAGCCACGGAGGTGAGTTATTATTTATCAACGTTGCGAGATGTATTAAATCTTCATCTAGTAAGTCGTCAATACAAGACTTTGTTAATAATGTTTAAGAGCAATCCAGTGCCATTGACTTCCAAAACCCTTTCTTTGTTTCCAAACTTATCGACTCTTAACGTTTGGTCTCCACAAGATGTTTTTACAGTCAATAATGACAACTTCCCAAACATTCAAAACATAGTGTTGTGGTTCAAAGTCAGTTGTAAAACGATGAAAGAGTCCCCTCCTAATATTATTTACAAGGAAATATGTTTCACAAAGAAAGATAAGTCAGTGTTTCAGAGAGAAATTCCATTTGGGACTAAGAGCATTGGAGCGTCTTGTTTTGAGGACACGTCTGATATGACATCGTTCACTGTACCAGAAGGAATACGAGAACTTGGAGTGAAATGTTTTGCGTCATGCACGACACTTACAGATCTCCGATTACCAAAGTCTCTTCAAACGATCAAAGAAAAGTGTTTCATGACATGTAAGTCATTGCGGAGTGTAGTGGTACCAGAAGGGGTTTCTGTACTTGAAGAAAGCAGTTTTTCATATTGCGAAAGACTTACCGAAGTCATCTTTAACTGTTATGACCTCAAAGAGATCGGTCGGTGTTGTTTCTATCAATGTGACGCCTTACAAAAGGTGATATTACCCACTACTTTAGAACGCTTGTGTGACTTTACATTTAGTGAATGCAAGAGTCTGGCTCAAATAGATATTCCAACTACAGTAACGAGTATAGGAAATGCCTGTTTTGAAGGGTGTTTTTCTTTAGTCGCCATTCAAATTCCAAACACCGTCACTAAAGTTTCACAAAAATGTTTCAACAACTGCTCGAACCTTCACCGAGTCGAAGTACCCCGTTTTCTTAAAGAAATTGGCGATTTTGCATTTTGTAGATGTACGAATTTGGTATATTTAGTTGTTCCCCAAAACGTCGTCTTTTTTGGATTGGACTGTTTTCAAGATTGCCCTTTCTTTGAGAAGAACAATACTAAAACAACTGCTTTAAGAGATATTAGTGAACATTCTGGTAACAGTAAAGCCAAAGACTTGCTTTCTTTCTTTGTGAAGAATTCAGATGTTACCACTCAAAAGAAAAAAACCGAATTAAAACCAAACACAAAAAACTTTGAAGTCCCTCCTCAATGTGAAATTATTAATTGTGATGAAGAGAGTGAATGTAATAACCAATGTATGTCATGGGAAAATATAGACTTGAATGAAAGGTCGGAGTCACCCCCCACTGAAAGTCAATTGAAATCATCTCAACACATTCAAGACGTTGTTGTGGAAGACCAGCAACATTTCCAACAGCAAGATACTCCAGTAACTAATAGAAATGAACAAAAAGAAGACCAAAGTGAAGACACTGAATTGGAGTCGTGTATCACTGACAATAATATACTTAAACCGGACGATGTGTGGCTTACACACAGTCAACTTGAGGCTAAGACTCAACTTAAAGTCAATGCAAACAATTCAAAAGTGATTCAAAAACAAGAAAAACAAAAGACTTTACACTTCTCACAATTTGAAGACTACACAATGAGCGGAAGTGAAGAGTGCTCAGACTTCCACCCCCTTAATGAACCACCACGCACAATAACTCCAAAGATTATTAAAGAACAAAGTGAAGGTAAAGAACCACTTCCATCTCTCCAAAAGTCTTCACCCCAAATGAGTGAAAGTACCATCGAAATATCCGATACAGTGCTTTCAATATGTGATGGTGCTTACCAGGGCTTTACCTCTTTAAAAAGTGTGAAAATCCCGAATAGTGTGACTTCTCTTGGAGTTAAGTGCTTTTCGGGATGTACAACACTGAGTGCAATAACGCTCTCAACCTCATTAGAGAAACTCCCAAGCGAACTCTTTGCCAACTGCAGCTCGTTAAAGAGCATTTTAATTCCTTGTAAAGTCAAGTCTCTTAATAACTCGTGTTTTTATCACTGTGGAAGCCTGTCCTCCTTCCGCTTTTTTGGTGCTATAGAAAGCCTTGGTAACATGTGCTTTTGTGGGTGTAGTTCCTTGAAGTCATTTGACCTCTCCAACTTCCGTTCTGTTGGGAAGATGTGTTTTCTCGGGTGTTCTCAACTGACTTCCGTCACTCTGTCATCGCATTTATCAAACTTCGAAAGTGAGACGCTTTCCAATTGCAATAACTTACAGAACGTCATAATAAGTCAAGGAACAACAACTCTCAAAGATGGGTTGTTCGTTGGGTTCAGTCAATTGTGTGCGATAACCCTTCCAACTAGTTTGAAGATATTAAATAGTCAGTCCTTCCAAGGCTGTGTAAATCTCTCTTCTATTAACTTGCCTTCACAACTTCAAAGCATAGGCGCCCACTGTTTTGAGAAGTGTCAAGCTTTGAAAGAAGTCCGAATACCAAATGGGATCACAAAAATTGAAGATTTCTGTTTTTATGAGTGTTTTGGACTCAGTAAAGTGTATTTGAGCTTTGGGATCACTGAGTTTGGACAAAACTGCTTTTCTAAGTGTAGTCTTGTGGAGCTTCAACTACCGGGGAGTATTAAGAAGATATCAAAGAGTGCATGCACCGCCTGTAAATTAACAAAAATAGTATTGTGGCCGAAGATATGGCCAGTATTTGCTTCACAAGTCAACGCCAAACTGAGTCGAGTGACTACTGTGTATGATGTAATCACTGATGTACATGCGTTGATGCAAATACCTTCACTTCCATTGGGTATTAGAACACTAAATCGTAGTATGTATAAGATCTGTGATAGACTAAGTTCAATAACTCTGCCACTTACTATATCTGAATTAAACAGTTCTTGTTTCCAGTGCTGTACAGCACTTGTTCGAATAGAAATACCTTCGAGTGTCACTAAAATTGGGATGAACTGCTTTGCGAAGTGTTACTCCCTTACCAGTGTCATAGTCCCTATTAACGTCAAGACTATTGAAGAGAGTACGTTTGCGGAGTGTTACTCCCTCAAAAATGTATTTCTGATTGGCGCAACTGAAATTGAAAAACAAGTGTTTTATCAGTGCACATCATTGACTGGGATTAAATGCCAACTCAGTGTTTTGGTCGACAAAAGTAGTTTTGAGGGGTGTGCACTACTTAAAGAAATTGTTTTATATACTCCTCAATTTGTTCCTTTGGGGAAATTGCTCACAAAATGTAGTTCATTCTCTAACATAGGACTTAGGTCCATCATCCTTCAAAAATAGTGTTTTGTGTGTTTAATTTATATATTTAGTCAACTTATAGTTATCAATTTGTAAGAAGGCTCTAAGCTATTTATAGATAGCAAATAACTAGATTATATTAATATTTTTTACTATATTGCAAACTATTTATAAAATATAGAAAAAAGCATAACATTTTATTTAATATCACGACTCTTAACCCAAGCAGCTATTGTTGTAAAGGTGGGGAGATACACTTTTGATGTTTGAGCCAAGTCTAAGATGTTAAACAGAAGTCCACTCATCTCAGAAATTTTTCCTTCATTCACGTCTCGTTGCATTGAAGTGGTTGAGTCATCTAAAACTTGATTTAATATACTTTGAACATGCTCTTGAAGACTTTCTTCGAATGTTATTCCGAGGCTATGACATAATAATCCAACCTCATCGACAAGTTGATATAAAATCTGCTTTGGGTAATCTTCATACTTAAAGTCTTTTGCTACTTTATTTAAAAATACTCCAGTTATACCAATACAACCAGTGAAACTGAATTTTTTAAATTCCTCTTTGAGTATAGTATCTGTATAAATTGCTTGAATTCCACTTTCTTCCAAGTCCTTTGTTAATTGTGTTATTTTTCCTTCGAATACATGGTATTGGTTTTTTCTGAATCCATAACATATCTTAAATATTGAAGTTGGTTTAACTATGACTCCAGGAGACTCAATGAATCCATGAACATATATTGTTCCATCCAATACTACACAATTGGGACATTTCTTTCTCAACTCTTCTCCAGAAGAAATAACATTAAGAATTGGTATAACAATGGTGTCCTCTTTTGCAATTCTATTAATAAAAGGTATTATTTGTGGAAGAGAGTAATATTTGACACAGATAAAAATAACATCTGGCGTTGAATTATACTCTTCACTTGTCTTAACATTCACTGGATTAATAATGATCTGTCCATATTCATTTGTTTTAATGTGAAGTCCTCTTTCTTCCATTTTTTTCTTGTGTTCTCCTCTGGCTATAAGAGTCACATTTTTTGCTTGTCGTGCCAAATACCCTCCAATACACCCTCCAGTTCCTCCAACACCTATGACCAAATATTTTAATGTTGAATTCATTGATTTCTTTTTTAGTTTATGCTTCATTTTTTACCCTCTTTTTACCTTCTTTCTAACCTTTGTTATTAAGTTTACTGTTAAATTGTCTTTTAATTTGTTTAAAAGTGATTTGTTGTATTAGAGTCACTTTAACAACATCGAAGTCAATCGCTTAATTTTGTTTTAACTTTCAAAAAATAATTAAACTCAAAATTGATTTATTTATGACAGTTTTTTTTTAAAAACGTCAAACATTTTTTTTTACACAAATTTTTTTATTAACAAAATGCCATTTTGAAAATGTTTAAAAATAATTGAAAAAAATTTCCTTTTACGAAGGAAATCACTTCATATTTTTCTAGTTCAAACCCTTTTCATACATACTAGTAAATTATATAAAAAAATACTAATCACTTAAACTAAACCAAAACTATTTTAAAAAAGAAGAGGAAATGGCGAGACAACTCACGCTATGAATTTTTTGATAAAACTATACACTAAGAACAAAACAACAAGAATAATAGTTCAACCAATTTCCAAAGGAAAAAACTGAAAATGCAAAGAGATGAGTAATTATGCTCAATACGAGTATCTGGACGTGACGGTGACAGACCCTCAAACACGTAGGGATGACAAAGGGGAATACACCGTCTATAAAGTTCACTTCGATGTTCGTTATACTTATAAACTATACTTGTATTGTATAATAACTATCACTAAACTAAACTGAATGACTAAGTTGTAGACAACGTTTGAAGAATATAGACTGAAAAACAAAGACGTGTATAGAAGGTATTCTCAATTTGTTGAGTTGAAGAGACAACTCGATATCAGATTTGAAGAGAGAAAAGACAAAATGCAGAAATTTGGGACGATCCCGTCACTCCCGGGCGACACGTTTCTTTCTTTGTTTGGAAGAGGTCGCTTTGACCCTTCCTTTGTTGCAGAAAGATGCCAAAAACTCGACGCGTGGATAAAAGCCGTTTGTGCGCATAACATGCTTCGCTTTGAAAAAATCCTCATATCGTTTTTAGAGGAAGACGAGTGGCAGATCACTCCTTAAAGAGTCACGTTGTTGTCTTAATTCCCATCGCTTTAGCTCTTTTGTTTTACTATTCATTTATAGTATTTTTAATTAATATGTTACTATTTATATTTTTACTTGAAACTCTTGAAGAACTCTAACAATTACTTGAAGAAGTGATGGAAAAGATACCTCCTTCAAGCAGTTCACAACACAATGTCACAACATCAGACACACAAATCGGGGTACCAGAAAATGATAAAGAAGCAAATATAAAAACAGTGAAGACAAAGACTCTGCTTGCGTACCACTACTACTACGCATTGTCCTTCCTCCCACAATATCGTGATGTCACAACTTTCCTCCAAGTCAACAAAAAGTGTAAAACCCTAATAGAAACCCTCCCGTATTATTTGTACACAAAGCCACACCCATCGCCGATCTTCCCGAAGTTACTTTTTGCGGATATCCGGCACAACGTGTCGGCGAAGTTTTTGCAAGAACTGATCATGACGTCGAAGAAGTTAGTTTCGCTGCGATTTGTCATAGGGACGGAGAACTGCAGAGGAGTCAACAAACTCATCTCACTCTTGGAAAAGAGTCAAACGAACTTTTTAAAGAACATCAAACTAACGATTGAGAGTAAACTTAATATTAATAATATCATCAGTCGACCCTTTCTGAATATCGAGACATTAATATTTGATTGGCTCTATGGATATACTGCAACCACATTCAATACCAATTTGAAGTCGTTTGATATCACCCTTTCACGAAGTACAGACTTGTGTCAGTTGGTTGATTTCTTCTCACACTTCTTTTGTAAGCGAATAGTCGTTCGCGTCGAGTACGAGGCATTTTGGGACGACATCCGATTCATTGCGAAAAAGCTTCATACTCGGGACTGTAAGTTGACGATCTTCACATCGCACTCATTAATCTCAGAGTCTCCCGACTTGGACGAAATGAATGAAATACCCAGTGGCACAATTGTTGTATTAAAAGGAGGAGATATCTATATCAATGGCTTTATCTGTCACTCTGGAGAGATCATAGAAGACCATTTAAAGTACTATGAAGGCAGTAATGCGGCGACGGTGTTACCTCCCCTCTTTGAAGTGAATATCACTGGGAATAGTTATAGACGAGTCTGAAGACGATAGATTTATCACACAAGACGTTCATAGAAAAGTTGAACTCGGGGTATGCGATATCAAATCTGGTCTTACCGAGTAGTTTGACGAAATTAATGCTCTCGTCGCCACCGACGTATCTTCCATTGAACTTAAAAAGTCTGAAAATGGTAGGGATATCGAATTCTTTAATGAACTTGTCGGCAGCACAATTCCAAAGACTTTCATTGAGGAAATGCACAATAGACTCGTTAACCGTCCCCCCGACGTTGACATCATTTAAGAGTGTTTTAAACTCTTTTAAACAACTCAATTTGAATTGTGTGGCGACTAAGGCGATTTTTGAAAGCAGCGATATGCCTCCAGCAGTGCTTATACCAACGCACTGCACACAACTCAAAGTCCGGTCACTGAGGATTTTATTCATGCAATTGACTGAGTTGAGGAGACTCGAGTTGATCGACTGCGACCATTCACAACTTGCGACAACAGTTAAACTGTCGAAACTGACAGCACTGACGTTCATAGCGAAAAGTGCGGGAGAGTTCATAAGAGAAGAGGAGATCCCAAAGTTGATGTTCTCAAGTTGTTTAGTCGACTTGAAGTTGCAAAATGTGTGCTTTGTGCGGATTGGAGGAAGGAAAGTGGCGAAGGTGGATATCGAGTTTTTGAACGGGAATGTTGGCGAAGACAGTAAAGTCCTGACAGACACTAAAGACATGAAAGAAACACCAAAAAGTGGTATTAAACGAACAGACATCACACCAGAGTTCTTGTTTGGAGAAGAGGTCCACGAGTTCCACTTGAAAGGACTTCAAACGGTGAAGGAGGTGTCGGCGGATTTTCTTTATGTGGAAGGAGCAAATGAGCTTTCGATCGGGAAATGCTTTGGACTTCACTTAAGAAATTGTCGAGGGAAAATAGGGTTTGAAAATGAGAGTCAGAAAAAGGTTGGATATGTCCATTTGTACAATTGCGTCTACGACAAAACGAATTTTGCTGTGTTCAAAAATATCACGAAAATGAGAGTCGACGTTTTTGGGAAATTCAAAGAAAATATGTGGAAGTTCTCACAATTTACTAATTTGATGAATTTAACACTTTTTGCAAGTCAAATCAATTTGAGTAAATTGGACTTGCCAACAACAGTAACAGCCGTTGATGTCGCGGCTCCAAAAATCATCTCGAATTTCAATAATAAACAACTCAGACAAATTAAGTTGCTCTCTGTTGTCTAATACTATTTTTTCTTGTTTTTTTACTAAATATTTTACTTTGTCTTTTTAATATTTTAATAATTAAAAATTTAGGATTGAAAACCATACAAACGAAATAAGAGACAAAAATAATAAAATTTGAATTATAAATTATAAATTATAACTATTTGGTTTCGTATTTTATTATATTTTTATTATATTGTAAACTATTTTTTATTTATTCAAACTTTTTATTTAACTTTTTTTAGTTTTATTAATTAATTGTATTATAATATTATAATATATTTACTATTTTTTATAATACTAATATCCAAGAGGAAATAATAACATCACTTTCCAGAAAAAAGCTTTTTTTCAAATTATTAATCACAGATGTAAAGATGAAATTATTTTATTAGTTATTATAGTTATTTAAAATTAAAAAACAAATAATAAAAGAATTATCATAAATAGTAAAAAAACTACAATGAATTATAAAAAAAAAAGTTTAAAATTGAAATTCTGATTATATATATTCACAATGACAACAATCTCACCATATCAACAATTCATAGAATCACCATATCAAGAATATCAAGATTTCTTTGACGACATCACATTACATATGGAAATTATAAAAAAACTTACGTTACAAGACTTTCTTTGCCAAAAGAAACCTACTGAAGAAGAACTGAGTTTGTTATACTTTAATACTTTTTTATAATTGTTAAATAAATAAGTTCTCAGAAATAGTCACTGTTTTTCCTCTTTCAAAAATCATTAAAGACCATTTCTTTACGGCAATCACAACAATCCCTCATTTGAATCACTTTCTTTTGGTTTTAGTTCCGACACACTTGACCGAAATGGAATTCTATTTTTTGTACCTCAAAGTGCTTTTTGCAAAACACAAGAACACGGACGTCTTCACACGAATTCAGCAAAAACGAAAGATGTTACAAACAAAACTCGACCCGTCCACGTTGTTCACTATGAGATATGTTTATTTGTTGATAAAAAATACACAAGTCACCAATTTGGCAATTTTTGAGAAAGCAATTGCTATTTCAAATACAAAAACGAATGGGATGACAAAAAAGACCTTTGCAAACGTTTTGGCGAACTCCGACCACCTCCCACATTGTCAAAAAGAGACGGACGAAAGGTATAATTTCGTTATGTTTTTGTTTTGTGAAGTCTTTGAAAATCATGACGTCCATTTCCCGTTTTTACCCAATTTATTCCAAACACTTATTCAAATGTATGATTTGGCAGACGCTTATGCCGCTGTCTTCAAATTTTTAATCCAAGCCGAGTGTACTGGACTTTTCTATACCTCACAATTCGACTTTGAAAGTTGTGTAGATTTCATGGTGTGTGAATTGGTCCAATTTTTACCACACCTTGCAACGTGTTTGTTATTTGTACTATATTCTTTCTATTACTTAATAGTTTAATTAATTGCTAGTTTAAAATATTAATAACAAATTAATAATAATAGAGTACTAGTTATTATTATTTAAATACTATTTTAATTACTAAAATAAACTCTTTTCAATTGTCTTCTTACTTTTCAATGCTCAACTTTTTAAATACATAACGAAGGCAATGAATGCTATATCACAAAAGTACTTATATTTAAATGAACAACTGACAGTGGGTAGGTAATCGGAATAATCTCGAATCTTTTGTGACGACTGTGTTAGACACCTTTGGGATGCCATTGATCGAAGGCCTCGACTTAATCTACCAGAAGCCGATCCTTGAATTTTTCCTTGTCAATGGCAAAGTTGGTTTTATGAAATTCTTTCACTTTTTATTAAAGAAGGAGAATCCAATTGACTATACTTCTCTTCAGTCGATGAAAGGGAGTTGTATAGCTTATATTGTTCAAATTCACTCAACAACTACACAGCCATTTGTTACGTTCATATTACAAGAAGGTTTAAAACCATATGTAACACACAACCACTTTATTATGACACTGAACTTCCCACCAGAAGAGTTACTCAATGAGATTCCAAAGAAGTGTATAGTTGTACCTGAAGTTATGAAGAGCTCACAAATCATCGACTCGGACACTTTCTTGAAGATTGTTGAGTATTTACCGCCACGAGTTAAACAAAACACTCCGGAGTTAATCTTCACGTCGTCGGTTGATGGGTTCAGTCTGAGAACTCTGTACTCCAAATTGAATAACTCGATGATGCTCCTCTTTCTCTTCCAAAAGGGGAAGTACACGTACGGCGCATTTGTTGCTGAGGATATCGAGATAAAGAGTGACTACTATGGGAACAAAGAGACATTTCTATTTACAGTCAAGCCAGAACTGAAAAGGTATTCCCAGAACAAGAATAGTAATCAATTTGTTATAATGAGCAACTTCAGCTGTTTGGCTTTTGGCGGTGGAAGTGGAAGACCTGCACTTATGTTCGACGAAATGCTTATGGCTAGTTCAGAGGCATCTCAGACGTTTGGGAATCCACCACTCTTCCCTAAGTACCTTAATGGTGCTCGATGTGATAGAGTCGAGATCTACTCTTTTTGTTAATTCATTCTTGCGTCTTATTGCTTCAAAAATAGAATGTCATATAGTATATTTTATAGTTTTTTATTATTATTTAATAATACACAAATATCATTCTGTTTTGAAGTATTCAAATAATGAATATTTTGAATAATAAAGTAATAATAATATTATTATAATTATAGTTAATTATTCTTTTTCATACAACAAGATGGTTTAATAAATGAACTATACAATTGTTATAATGATAGTTGACGTTTTTTATCATGTGTTGACAAGCTTCAACATTTTTGAATTGAAAAAAATTGAATGGAAACTTGAAAACTAATGAATGAACTATTGAATTTGTATGGAGTGGACGTTAACAGGACTGAAGTCATAACCGGAGAGGTGTTGAACCAAATATTAACAAATGTTATTAATAAGTATTTTCCAGTAGTCCCGTCAATGGATTATATGCAACAAAATACTTCGTTCACAAGCCAAGTCACTCAACTGATTCCTAAAACTGGTGCTAAGGATGTACAGAAAGAAAAAAGCCAAGTCACTCAGCCCCTCTATTCACTGCCTACTTTCGTTCCAAAAACTAAAGAAAATACAAGACCACTCACAGAACTGCCTTTAAGAATGACACAGAGCACACATCCGGAGGAGAAAAAGCAACAAACAGATTTGCCATTAAATAATAGTTCAAGAACTATAGTTGAAATCAGCGAAGAGCCATTTCTTCGGGTCGTGGATAATGACATCATCAATGGGGCTCTTATGAACTCATTTTCATATTTTAAGAAGTGGACTGGATTGAGTCGGGGGAAGTTGGTCTTCGACACGGCACAGGAGCACGACCCGGACATCCACGAAGTCACCGCGTTCAATGAAAGTGTTATTGGGAAAGAGAACTTAGTGTTTCTCATGTTAACTTCATCGAAAGAAGTATTTGGATGTTATGTATCGGACTCGATCAATCAAGTTGGGAAGAACGTGTTGGAGTCGAAGAACTTTCCATTTGCACTGAAAGCGAGTATGATCACAGGTCCTAAAAAGTTTATCACAAAGACACAAGAAAGCATTTACTTTATCCTTACTCAAGAGAGTGAAATCAATTATACTCAATGTAATCGACTCTTTGTCTATGGGACGGATAGGGCAAAACTACATGGGAAAAGGTCGTCATCATTACATACCCTGAAAGATGACTTCTTAGATATCCAAA